TGGGTGTGGGTGTGTGTGGGTGGGGGTGGGGTATGGGTGTTATTTCCATCTACGGACCCGCAACCACACCCACATCAACATCCATACCCACACCCACACCCACACCCACACCCACACCCACACCCACACCCACACCCACACCCACACCCACACCCACACCCACCCACCCCCACACCAACACCCCCACCCACACCCACATACCCACCCCCACACCCACACCCACACCCACACCCACACCCACACCCACACCCACACCCACACACCCACACCCACACCCACACCCACACCCACACCCACACCCTTATTAATTAGTTAATTAATAATTATGTAGTTATTAATTAGTTAATTATATAGTTATTAATTAGTTAATTAAGATATGAATTTTCTCTGTCACGGTCTGTGGGGGGTGGGGGGGGCGGGGGGGAGTGGGTCCAAATTTCTACCCCTAAACACTTCAACACTCCTTTTAGATCGTGTTTCACAAAAATTAGAACAGTAAATATTTTCAAATGATTACCAATTTTCTCTTTGATTTTTTGTGATTTTGATATTCAAACATATTGAGAAACTGTCAAATTCAACCGATCTATACTGGTCAGTTCAAACCTTTTCTTCAATTGTTTCATTTGATTAAGTTGTATCTTTAAAGATAGTGTCTGTTTTACTCTGTTCAATGTATTATTTATTATCGCATATAAAAATAAGATATCATCCTATGTAAGATGAATAGTATCAAAAAATACTTATCGACAGCTATCAAAGAGAAAAAGTTGAGCCTTCATCAATATCATTGAAATGAAAATATAAATTTCAATAAACCTATTCATAGGATACCACTTAGTAGCATCATTTCGAAATTAATAGCTGAAAGATTTAAATTTCAAACCACCAATTGTAATTGAAAAATGTCATTAGGTTTGTTTTCAAAGTTTCTAACGTTCGTTTTGATAATTATAATAACTTTTAGAAACGTTATATTTATAATCATAACTACATGATACAATTCAAAGGAAGCTTTTCATTGAAGCATCAAACACTAAACAAGTCAATCACACGAGGATCTAAAGTGTAGATATTAGTAGATTCCAAAAAAAAAACGATATATCGATAACTTTTTGTATTCTATAAAGAAAAAGTAAGTGAAGGAAAGTTGTGCTTCGTGTTAATATTAAGTAAAAAGTTATTGGATTATTAGTAAAAAGATGGTATGATTGTTATCTGAATGGATACCTTCACTTCAATATCAGTATCTTATGTTAGAGTAGATTTTCTCTTTCTATGCTTAGATCTATTCATATCTCCGTACCTTGATAACTGTATCTAGACATTAAAAAGAACTGTTTATTTTTCTGAAAATTAAATTGCAACTGAGCACAGAATAAAGCCATTACAACAAAAGCATACGGTTTTCAATTTTTATTTTTAAATTAGAGTATTTAAAAGACTATTCATTTGCGATTATAATAATTATGTGCGACGAAAACAGTTTCCGATTTTTCTTCTAATACGAACAATAGTTTCATAGAATTCTTTTTTATAGAACTTAGACGGTAGAATAAAGATTATGAATATAAGTAATGGTGGAATGAATGAAATAAAATAAGCACTAAGGTATAGCCAAGGATTTCGAGCTGATTTCATACATGTAGAAAGAAGCGAAATGATTAGACGTGGCATAGCAAGGATGATTAAAATGAAAGAACTTAATAATCGATGTTTGTGTCAATGAAATTGTTCCCATAGATGATTTCTGTGTGTTTGTGCTTGTGTTGTTTTCGATTTTCTTCGAGCTATTAAGACAATCATCAATAGAATAGAGAAGAAGTTGATACAAAGAGGTAGAAGAAAATGAAAGAAATTGATAATTGAGGCGTAAAGTCTTACAGGTGATGAATAACGAACTACACACCATGTACGTTGTTCTTCTGAATCTTCAAGTAAACGGCGACTTAATGGATCATGAAGAAAACTTGTCAATATGAACAGATATAGTCCAAAGATTACTCTTTTGGCTGCTTTTCTACTTCTTACTTTATTGAATTTGACTCCAAGTCGAATTGTTAATGCTCGTTCAATGCTTACACAAGCATTTAACCATTCTCCAATTGCAGAAAATGCTTTTAAAAGCATGTCTATGCATACACAATGCGATAAAAGAAAAGAATAATTAGTAATTATTGACATTTGAGAAAAGATAAGTAAGAAATATTTAACAGTAAATAATGTCATTGTTATAAGTGATGTAATTGATGAAGTAAGTAGATACAAACCAGAACCTATTTCAAGTGATCGTTTTGTTTGAAAGGTGATGATAGATAAAATACCATTGATAATAGCAATGACAAACATCAATACTGTAAAAGCTGTAGTAATTTTCACTACAGTGGGTTGTCGTAAGAAAGAAACATTTGGCCAAATATTATAACCAAGAACATCATCGAGTGATAAGCCAAAACCTGTTGTAGTAAATTGACATCGACTTCCATAATAACATTCTTTGCATAAACATGCCAATGATGTTGGACAAGTATTATTGTCTTGAAAACATTGACCATTATTTTCACAATAATTATATCCCAAACAACGATAAATAGAAGAATAGTCGAATTTGAAACAATTTGGATATCGATCAATATCACATAGACACATAAAGTAATCTTTATCATAGAAACATACAAGCTTTGAGTGTTTTTGACATGGAATATGATATTTTTTAGCACGATGCCATCGTGGTAAGTTTCGAACATCATCAGTGAATAAATCTTTGATTGATAAACATCGATGTTCAGGAATAATTGATGTTGAAGTATTAATTACTGATGTAAAATTATATTGAAGTAAAGCAAGATAATATTGTTGATGAAATTCTACAAATACTAGATGAAATGCTCCTCCATAATAAACAATAGTAGAGCTTTCATCAAACTTTAATTTTGACATCGTCGTTACTTGTATTGGATCAGATCTTGTAGACAATTGGTTAGATTCTGGTGGAAAATAAACAAAATGAAAGAAAATCGTTTGTGGAATGGATACACGTTTAGCAAAATGAAATTCGATTTTTGTCTCGAGATTTTCACATCTTGAACCCATGTAACCTTGAGAACAAAGACAATAGTATTCCATTCCAGAGTTTTTCTCATCATGAGGGATACATCGACTATTATTAGAACATAGATGGGAGTCGCAAATTGTCCTCATCAAATAACAACGTGGCCCAAATTTATCAAGAGGACAAACACATATTGATCGATTGCTTACAACTCCAATACAAATCGAATCTAATGAACAATCACGTACGGACACATAATCATGTTGTTCTGAAGAATGAATGGTTGTATTGTCATCAATCAGCATAATAATAAAAGTGAATACGGTTCGAAATTCCACTGTTCGAAACTGTAATGTTAGGCTAATTCGTTGATTTTGATATTCACATCGATATCCGAAATAAGCTGGAGGACATAAACAAAAGATTTCTGAGAAATTATTTACATAGACAGGAATTCCGCGATTACAAATTGAATTTAAACCATGATTCTTCGATTCCGAATACCATACGGAATCAAATGGATAAAGATCAACCGTTTCGATAGCCGTTGCTGCTGTAGTATTATACTCGTTGGTAACTGTTCCAAGAGAGGGAGGATAAAGAAGATGATTTTTCAATGTAAAATAGATAAAAGAATTTCTGTTTAGGCTCTCGAATAGTTGATACCGATAGAACTCATAATCGAAACCGCGTGGTTTTTGATAAATATCGCTATGATCTACATAATCTGATAAATTTATCTTTTTACACCATAAATCTTGGTCATCTCCTGATGAACAATATTGTACGTTTGAATCACATATATCATACATATGAATGCACTGTGTCTCATTGAAGCAACGATACGTTTTACCGAAAGTTGGTTCCCCCATTGCTCCACAGCGATCTTGTTCATCATAACCACCTACACAGTCAATACGACCGTCATTAATTCGCGAGAGAGGTAAACAAGTAAAATTGTGATGAAAAGGTAATATACAAGGATGTCCATTAGGACGACATGGATTATAAGGACAGTTAGCTTCATCGATTGCATTGCGGCAATGCCATTTTCCATCACATAGTGTATATATATTGTTACAAGGCCAATCTTTTTCACAATCCATTTCATCTGTGTAGTCAAGCCCGTCAATTTTTGTATTGTCGATAAAATTATCGCAAAGCATCGTAAATGACAGATAAGACTTCATTGGATGTGTACCAGGTATACCTACAGACGTATCCTCCATACCCATACACATAGGGAGATCTGTATTAACACGAGTCATAGGTATACATTTCTTTTCCGACGTACATCGAAAGCGGTAATCGACATCTGGTAACGAACAACTATTTGTGATTTGTTCGTCATCTCCTTGAAAACAGTCGCGAAAACCATCGACAAGTCGATTTAGAGCGATGCATTTCGATTAATGCGCACATCGAAATGGTTTTGACTTTGGACAATTAACATAATTAGTCATTGTGGTTGAACACATCAGAAAAAAGCTTAGTAGGCGATTCTCAAAAGAATTAAATGGATTTAGAGTTGTTTCATCCGGATCTAATTCAGAAAAGTTTCGACAAGTTAATCCATGTATCATTATAGTAGCTGGAATCCATTGGCAAAGTTCTTGATCGTAACATATATAATGAGGTAAAAGACTATCGAACTCATATTTATTTGTTAGATTATTTGCATATGCAAAGCGAACATGATTCAGCATTATTGGCTGAGCAGGAAAGAAGAAAAGTGGTGGACAGGCTTTTCTAAAGAGATTTTCATTCGTAGTTTTCACCTCACATTTCACGTGATTGGAGAAATTTTCACCATTATATTGTTGACTTGTCAAACAAATCAAACTTCTCCAACAATTAAATGATAAATGAGAGTTTGCATTTTGAGATATTTTTGCTCTCTGTAAGTGAATTTTACGCTGAGTACTACATTCATCCGTAGTACATATGCCATCACCACATGATAGGAAACGTTCATTTCGACATGCTGATTCTTCACAATGGAATCTCGGGTCTGCCTGGCACTCAAAGTTTATTGAACCAATATTTTCAATATTGCTATACTTTTCATCCAAACGATCGATACAATCTGGACTTGAGGAATCATCATTAAAAAATTCTTTTGGAATGCAAAATCCATTGTTACAACGAAATTCATTCTCTTTGCATTCATTTATATGTAACATATCACAGCCAATTTCATCTTGACCATTATTCAAACAATCGATTTTTTCATCACATATTTCACGCCAGTCGAGACAAGATGGTGATGGGCCTCGATTACATTCTATGAATATATAACATGTTCCATTCTTGATATCATTATTTATTTCTTTTTTAGGATACTTTAAATAAGACCATAGAATTCTATCAAAAGCCCATGTCAAATTAAATGAATATTGACAATGTTCACCGAACCACCATTCTGAACAATTGTTAAATACTTCCGTTGATAAAGATGTATTTGGCTTTTCGAGAAATTCTTGATATCGTTCAATAACATCAATAGGCGCAGATAATAAATACAACTGTTGACTTGTTATATTTTCTCTACGTAATGTTTCGAATGTAATTGATTTTCCATGATTGACACGGTTTTCGTGATTTACTAATAGGGTGAATGGCGTACCAAATGGACGTATACAGTAAGAAATTGGATTATGTGGATTAGGATTTTGATTTGCAGGATACGTATAATATCGCTTGATAGAAGATAAATCCAATAACAAACAGTCATGATCCAACAAATTGTTGTCTACATTATGTGTATAATAGAGACGAAATTCAGACGCCGTCACTGATACTTGAGAAATGAACAAGAGCATAAATAAAACCCAGTAGAACATCGGACTTAGTATCATATCAGATACTTATGAATCGAATTCGAATCACACATGTCTTCGTCGCGAAATCTAGAATATAGGCAGAATAATCTTGAAGAAAAAAAGTCAGAAATTTAGAGTAAAATTCATAAAATTCAAAAAATTTGTTCTAATACTTAAATTATCTCAAAAAAATACTGAGAGGGGTGTCTCAATACTGTATAGTAAACCTAAAGACACTTTCTTTCTATATACTCTTATAGAGGAAAGGAAGTCCTATATTTGTATGTTGTTTGATCATACTTCAACTAATACCCTAGGGATAGAATTAAAATAATACGACGTGTTTCATTACTATACGAGTGGTTGTTTTAATACTCATTGTAAAGAGTGCGAGTCAGTATTTTTTTGAATAACTATTGATAAAGATACGATAAAGAAGTCTTGTTTTTGTCGTTAGGAATAGATGATTAGGATGCAACGAATCACATATATCAGGTTTTCATAATTTGTTTTCTTCCCAGTTATCTTTTTATGAACAATTTTTTTCTGATAAGCTGCTTACAATGAATTTTTAACTATCAAATATGAATTTTAAATCGCTACTCACACGTAATGTTCGTCAGTTCGACTCACTTGACCCTCGACTGTTTAAGACAAGTACATTGTGCATGTGAGTATCGAAAGAATCGGTCTACTAGCCTCGTCACCATAACTGACTCAAACTTTGAATTCTTGAATGGTACAAGTCGAAGAAACTGATCGGTCTCTTTGAAAACAAGTCTCATACGTGGAAACCTAGTTATAAAACAGCTCATTCAGGAAGAACTTATCGCATACGTCGGCTTAACTGAATATTCAGTTTAAAAAATAGAATTGGTGAAAAGGCCAATATTAAAAGTTCGAGCACCGAAAACTTAGCCAAGGTTTTTTATTGACGTTTCGTCGTTCACTTTGACAATAATAGACAAAAACTTATTTTGATTTCATATAACTCTTCCTACACGTGAGGAAATATTATTATTTTCTCAACAAAAATTTTTCCTGAACCCAAAAAAATCAATTCAAAATTTTCAAAAACTAACTGCAGATTCGGATTCCCCGACCTTTATTCGTTTTCGTCAACCTTTAGAAAGTATCGTTATTTTCTCAAAAAACCCTTCCCTTAATCCAAAAAAACTCACTTCAAAATTTTAAAATTCTGACTTAAGATTCGGATTCCTCCACCCCGATTTACTTTCGTCAACTTTTATAGAAAATTCTCTGAAGTATATGTTTTTTTTTGACCCCGATGCAGACAGACACACAGACTATTTTTTTTTTCATATGACCCTCCCTACAGTCGAGGGAAAAGATCCACAAAGTGTAGAATACGAGAATGAATAATATGCGTTCCAGTCAAGTCTTTTATTCGATTTTGTAGGATAGTCGGTGAAAAAATCTCATTTTTATGCATTTGATTACTTTTTTTGTAAAAAAGTTTCGACTGTTCCAAAATGAAGTGAAACTACTTCAGAAATGAAAATCAGAAGAATCTACATAGAATGTGGATGTTAGTAAGTTTTCACGACTAATAGAATCAGTTCATGTTGGTTGACTAATAATCGCTTCGAATTGAAAGATAGCTGAAATGGCTCTTATTATGATGTATTAAAACAAATTCATGTCGAAATTTCTCGAAGCTAAGAAAGTCATCGAAAACGTCTTGTCATCTCAAACCAAAAAAAAACAAAAAAAATTGTTGAATGTTTTCCACTATCTAAACCTAACGCATTTGTAGTCACCGCTACAGATACTGAGGAAAAAATTATAACAAATTCAGTTGCAATCACTTTGTTGCTCATTAATACATTAACATACACATCTGTTCATCAGTTAAGAGGCTAAGGAACAAATATTGATAAATCAACACAACTTTGTTTTCCTAATTCTATATTTATCGTCAAAAAAAAAATATTATTTTATATTAAAATACGTCGTGCATCTTGCAAATTCTTGGTTAAAAGAAAAGATATATAACACTGTTCTTGATTTCATCTTGAATTAATTATTCACTTGCCACGTACGTATGTATGCAAGCAATATCAATGATACTGAATGAAATAATTGCTTTTTATCATATGAATATTATTGAAAATTATTTATTTTTATTCTTACATATGGTTTATATAAGTATATTTCATTTAAAATTTCTAGTTAATATATCGAGATATGCATCAGTTATAGAATAGATTGTTGAAATGAGTAGCTAAGTCGAATCTATGGCACATAAACGTTGCATTCATAATGCTAAATAAGAACCATCAGTTATTAGAAATATTTACATTTTTTATCAGCAACTACGTAAAAACTACGTCAATCAAGCAGGAACAAACGTTTGTTATTCATAGTTTAGTATGAACTGTGATAAAGTCAGCAATGTCTAATGGTTCTTATAAAAGAGAAAAAAAGAAAAAAAATGCAACTATCTATATATGAATCTTATCATTTATCATGGCATTATAAGTAGGTCATGTTTTATATTCAATATCGATTCGATTTCTTACGCTCGAGACTATGGCTGAGTGATTGAAGAGTAATATCCTATATCCACATCACACATTCACACTCGGGACCTCTCTCAAGTGAATCTCTTTGTATAATGGTCAAACTCAAGATTAAAATTGAATTTAATGCATTCAAATATAAGAATATGTTGATCAAGAAATAAATTTTGCCAAATCTTTTTTGCTCAAATCTATATCTACACTTCAAATGCTCGCCAATAAATTAAAAGAATGTTCTCCTGATCATAATTCAAATATATAAATGAATAAAATGAAAATAATGAAGACGGTATAAATACTTAGAATATTTGCAATTAATGTACATTTACTTCTTTTCGTTCTAAATTTTATTCTTTTTTTGTACTCAAAAAGTGAGTACACTCTAGGAATCGGTCAGTATGTCCGTCCGGTCGGCTGTTTACACGATAACTTTTGAAAAGAGAGTCCAATCGCGATGAAATTTTCCACACAGTTTAATCTTAGCAATGTCTCAGTTGAGTTAGAAGATGAGAAGAATCTGTCAAGAAATGGCTAAGTTATCGAAAAAATTGTCATTATTGATCAGACCATCCCTGAGGAGGGGGGAGGATACAGGGATTTTTTCAAAAAAAAATTTTTCTCTGAATTATTCACAACATATTATATAAATCGACTTAGTTTTTAACGATGATTCCGAATCTGATATTAGTTTTGAACCAAATCGTAACTTTCGAACAAAACATCCCCTGAAAAAGGTCTCAAAATGCAGAAAAACTTCATACACTTTTTGAAGTACACATAATACTCAGATTTAAATCCGATGTTTTCGCATTTATTTTCATATTAGGATAAAAAAGTGTATGCTGAAGAAATAATTGATGCTAACAAGAAATTCAAAAAGTTTCTTTAGGTTTATTTGATTGATGCATCATATTTTAATGTTATCTTAGATAAAGTAAATGTTTTTATTTAAATTGTTATCTATTGTTAAATTGATGTATGCTTTTGTTAAAGTAATAAATAATAATTCTGTAACACAACTAGCTGTCATAACAACAAAATTACCTGAATTATTAGCTCAATATTGTCATACACTTTATGCACAAAATGTAAAAAGATAATCAGAAATTACTTCTAAATGGTTTTTAGTAGTTTAAATTTAATCTGGCAAAACATAAAACGTCCATTAGTGTGTTTAGGCAGTTTTCTGATATTTGATGAGTGTATAGAAATCAAAGCAGAATTTCACTTGTATAGTCAGAAAAAGGAAAATCCTTACTACAAAGACGGTCTACAAAATTAATTCTATTCAATTTTCGTTTGAAAATCCTACAGCAATACCAGCCCAAAGACCTAATCGTATGTTTGATAGATGATCTCGACAGGAAGAGTTTTCAAAAAACTTCTATAAATCCATTGAGTAGAAGCTGAGATATGAACGTTTTACTGTTAGCGATCCATAGGTACAATTCGAGTGCAATTCACTCATATATGTTCGGATTCAAATTGAACGCCATTCTGTACAGCTTAATATTAAAATGGGAAGCTAAATTCAGGTTAGCTAGATATTTAGACGCTATTAAAAAAATGTGTTTATAGTAAACAGAGTCAAGTCCAAAATTTTGAAAAACTAATATCAGATTTGCGTTCTTCAATCTCGATTACCGTCGGTTAACCCTTATAAAAAAAAAATATATTACTTTATTAAATAATGCTTTCTTTTAGGAAAAAAATTTGGAAACACTAAGTGCAGAATCGAATTCTCGGAGCTCGATCAATTTCGGTTAAGCCATACAAAATAAATGTTTCTTTTTTAAACAAACGATTTCTTCATGAAAAAAATTGAAGTTGAAAATTTTGAAAAATTGATCCCAGATTCGGATTCTGGACCCTAATTATCGTTGGTTGAGTCATACATCTCTCCGACACTCACTTCCACAGGTATCACCAAGTTCAATCTGAAGTAGAGCCATGAAACTTCAACTCAACTGATACTGAAACTTTCGAGCTCAAACGGTTTGCGTTTGGTAATTGTCTACAAACGATTGATAAAGAATAAAAACTATATAAATGAGAAATACCTGGAGATCTGAAGCCGCAGTTAATTTTTTGAAGAAATCAACGTTGATCGAAATACTTTCATTTTTAAAACGTCATTCTATTATGAAGCCTTTTTATTTTTCAAAATTTCTTTTCTCTTTTCTCTAGTGTGTCATCTATGTTTTTAAAATTTGTGAAACGAGAATGTTTTAATATGCTTTTAAAACAAAAAAGAATATTTATCTTGGATATCAGGGTAAAGTTTAAAAGTTGATTATTGTGAATTAAAGAAGCCTGACTTTCTTCACTTGACTGAATATCGGTCTTGATTGTTTTGTGTTATGTTTATTTTCTATACTTTCGCACTTTTGAAAACATCTTTGATCTGGAGCTGGACTATTTGGAATTCCTGATAATTCATCAGGTGATGAAGCTGCATAACACTAAAAAGATAAATAAGACTGAATCAATGAAAAATATATCTCACTTGTTGTATCCAGAGATGGGCAAGTCAGCTATTTTTTCACACAAGTCAAGTCAAGTCATTTCTGAAAGAGAATCAAGTCAAGTCAAGTCAAGTCATTGCTTCGAAGTCCAATATCTCAAGTCAAGTCAAGTCAAATCTGCGATCTACCCAAGTCAAGTCAAGTCAAGTCAAGTCTCAAGTCATTGACTTGTATTTTTTTAAGATTCATAATTTAATCATGTGTCAATTTATTAAAAAAAATTACATCAGTTCCTTATTACATTTTAACATGGTTAACATTTGCAAAGTCTTTCTTGACATCTTGGCCCTGTGTTGTCGAAATATAAAGCCACTTTGTGAAAATATTCTTTCGACCGGTGATGATGTTGCAGGAACTGCCAACACCTTCTTCGCCAATTGGTTCAATACTTTGTATTTAATCGGTTCATTAATTAGAATAAACCGATTGGAATCATTATCATCTTCGTTAAGATAATTAGTAATTTCATCTTTAATAAATGCAAAATTATCAATCTTTTGCTTTTTAATATTTTTACGTTCAATATTTGAGAAAAGACTTTTGCGTTTTGGTGTTAGTCTTGGTGTTGTTATTGTTGTTGATTGTTCATCATCAGTAACATTAACTTCACGTGTTGTTGTTGAACAATCACTATGCTGAAGTACTACACAATGATCATATATCAAATTTTTAATTTTATCACAAATAATAGTTTTTGTTTCTAATGGTAATGATGATTCCATAATCCAATGTAACCTGAATTTTCCATCAAGAAATGGTGAATAAATAAATATTTGATCCCTATAAAGTTCAGATGAACCTTTTTGTTTGATCGATTTATCAATACTAACACCTAATTCATCTAATAAACCACCAAACCGAGAAACTATAGAAGTTAACAATGTATGACATAATGATGATGTATATAAGACATTTGATTGTTCATTTAATAAATCATAGTAAATTGATAATATAGTAGGTGCAACAAATGATATTGATGGTGTATTTTCAGATTGTGTTATTGTTGTTGCATCAGCAAATAAAGTTAATAATGATATAAATTCGTTTAGCATTTGATAATCTTTAGTAAGTAAACAAAGATCTTTACGTTTTACTAAAATTAACATTTCATTTAATTCTGATGATGGTATACTTAAAATTTTTTCAACTGTGTTGAATTGGCTGTTCCAACGAGTTTTGATAGGTTTAGGAATTGATTTTCCAATATGTTCTAGTTTCGCTGCAAAAACAGTACTTGTATGAGATAATTTTGCTATCTTCGATACTTTTGATAAAGCAGGTTCCATTGATGAAACTTCTTTTAAACCATCATTTACCACTANGTTGTTTTTGTTTTTGTTGTTCTTGTTGTTGTTGTTGTTGTTGTTGTTGTTGTTGTTGTTGTTGTTGTTGTTGTTGTTGTTGTTGTTGTTGTTGTTGTTGTTGTTGTTGTTGTTGTTGTTGTTGTTGTCGTGGTGGTGGTGGTGGTGGTGGTGGTGATGGTAGTGACCCTACATTATGTGATGAATGTAAAGGATAACTATCATCGTCATGTAATGTTTGTGGTGACAGCGTTGCAAGAATTGTATTTGATAATTCTATTATTTTATTTTGTTCCGATTCAAACGCTCCTCTAAAACGTACATATTTGATACCTGTCATTCTAATACCTTCAATAGACGAAATACAATTTGAATATCATGAAACGGTTTGCTTATCGAACTAACCTAACCATCCCCTTGGTTCGAACTGTTCAATTAGTATAGGTACAAGTTTTTTCTTCAGTGAATCCGTAGCATAGATGAATTCTTTCCGGCATGATTTACTTTCGAAATATTGATTCGAAAGAAGACATACTATGACTGATGCTTGTTCCATACCGTCAGCAATTGATTCCCATAAATCATCGACTCCTTGACAATGTGTTCGATCGATCCATATGTTAAAGATATTATTGTGTTTGTTTAGTACTTCTAATATATGTGTACAAAAGTCATTATTTTCATGGCAATAACTAACCATAATTGATGGTTTTTGTTGTATTCTAGAAACAAGAAAGTCCGATATATCCGATTTTTCATTTAATCGATAGTCTTACTTTTTTGTCGAATCTGATATACGTGCATCATGATATGCTTTCTTTTTCTCCAATATCATCTCAGTTTTAACATCACGATTGAGATTATGTAGAATACCATGTGCTGCTTCTTTAACACCTTCCATCGATCGTGGTTTGTAATCTTCGAGAACTACTTTACCCTTATCATTGTCGGCAAACTTTTCGATAATTGACATTAATTGTTCGTCTTGAGTTAATTCACTTGCATAATTGGGTTGAAATGATATGCTCCAAATAATATTTAATAGACTTATTAGTGTGTATTGTCTTATTTGATTTGTGACATCCAATGCATTCGTAAATTTGAAGAGCAATGTGATGAATAAATGAATTGTTGAGTGAGGATCGGATGGTGGCTTTGTTTCTGCATGACATAAGACGTACTCTAGTGTACGTTCGTCGACAACGAACATCTTTACTAAGATAACTAATGGTTCGCTAACATGAAAACCTTCATGTCGAAAACGATTATTTTTGAAACAATCAATAACAAGTTGAAGCAAACGATTGAGTACATTGTTCATGCCTTTCGTGTCACGTTTGAGTTCTTCTGGTGTGGAAAGAAGAGCCAATGTCATCGATGTAGCCAAACTTCGATTATCTGGCTTTGCTGGTTTACTAGGAAGCGAATACAAGAACTGAAACTATAGGTATATTTCATATGTGAACTTACATTTTCATATACTCTTTGATAATGTCTATGGCTCCATATTTGTTGAGTTCATCAGCTCCATCATCATGCCGAGCAATATTGAGAACAATACTGATTAGAGACCGATTATTGGTGTCTGCTAATTTAGATGCTTGTGCAAGCCAACCGAGTAATTTCTTGACAAAATCATTTCTCAACAAAAGTGGAACGAGAACAGTTCGATCAGTTGTGTTCCATAATAGAGTAAGGGCACCTAAAGCAATATCTCCTAGGATATACCCTTGTTCTACTTTTGTTTCACAATGTTCAGGCATGGATTGTTCGATATGTTCCATCAACACAGTATAAAGTTCAAAGTGGTTTTCAATGAATTGTCGATCGTCCACTTTTGAAAATGGAATAAGTGTAATTGTTTGTGCTGTGATTCGTAGCAGATGGAAAATATGTTTTTTTAAAATTCGATTGTCAGGTAAATTCTGTTGTTCTGTTTTTAACTTCAGAAAACGACTTATATTTGAATGAGTGAGTTGAGATATGCATGCAAAACACATCTCACGAGCAATTATCGTATTTGCTCGTATGATATGCATTTGGTTTTGTTTGAATAAACGTGACAGAAGACTACCACATTTCTGATAGCAAGCTGGAGCATCCGATGGAGGAATTTGAAGGATTTCGCTCCATAAAGCAACAAATTGAGATCTTTGATCTCTCTTCATTTGAGCGTCTGTTGTTGGCAAATTTTCAATTTCCTCTAATCGATCTATTATATGTTGATATGCGAATGTTTCGGCTTCGTTGGGAGCTATCTCAGGAATATTTTCCAAAGGATCAGTAGTGTCTGGAAGAGAGTCTTCATCCATATTGTCTAGAAACATATAAAAAATTTAATATAAAAGTCGATGAACTTTTATAACGATGATTATAGCTGTAGTTAACGCACATATGACTTGCTGAATGTAATTACAAAGATGAAGAGATGTCTTGTTTTCTTTACGATCGTTATTGAATAAATTTATCTATCCAAGTCTTGAATAGGAATGTGTATATAATCGCAAATTGTATGCATATAATGATGCACCATTAGTTAAAACAATGAACTGCATATTTTTCGAAAATTTCACTCTATGAGTAAGAACAATTACGATTTTTTCTTGTAAGACACAAAAAACATCGCTTACCATGCTTACCTCTACCAAGAAAGAGAACCTCGTCAAAAAAGAGAACGTCGTCAACATTTGTATTTTTTTACTTTATGCCACGCTACAGAAGTTGTCAGTGTAATCTATCGTCAAGAAAGAACACAAAAAGAGTTCTTCACTGTAATTCATAGCACTTGGCAACAAACACACATAAACCCATTACGTTGATAGACATAAACAACGTTGAAACAGAACGAGACATACAACAATTTGCGACACGGAATAAGATGTTTTCTACTTTAATCAATTGACATCGATGAAATTAATATATTGTGTATTTTCATTGAAACATAAACTTCATAAGTTAGTGTATCAATGGATTTTGCCAGGTGTAAAGGATTTATTGAAGTACGACTAATGACGTAAATCTATCGATTGTTCGAATCATCAAAAAAATTGCAAGTTTTATATTTATAAATTCTAAGATCGTACACAACTTATTTTAACTTATTAAACGGGTTGATAGCATGATTTATGGACATATTATGAATGATATATATGATTACTCGAAATAGTTCTAGTTTTAGTGAGTGTACATGTTTGTCCTCATTGAAATTGTAAAGAATAATAATTAGATAGCGATATCTTGATTTGATTGATGAATCGTGTGACAATAATTTTTCGTGAACAAACTTAGAAAAATTAATAAATTAAATAGATAGTTTCATGAATGACTGATTATTACCAAATATGCTCCAGTGAACGTAATAAATGCTTAGAAAAATACACAGAGAACTTCAAGTTTTAACCATAATGAAGTTCGTTTACAAGTGCATATATCACCCATAACAATCAAATGAACGAGAAGAAAAAGCTTTTATTTGATCAACATAAACACCCTCGAATGAATAGTGTACATCATTTTCAATTATGAGATCAATTTTTCAGATGTTTTGCTTTTTTGTTTTGTATAGATAAGAATTCATATATATATATATTTATAAGCTAAACTTAAATATAACTCTTTCTTTTCTTTTCAATCATGAAAGTTAAAATCTACAATAATCAGTGTCATACAACACCGAGTAAGCCTAAAAATATGCAAAAATAGACTAAATCTTTGACCTATTCACCAATCTTCATTACAGGCATCTTGTTTCTTTTCGAGCATTTTCTTATTTTGTGCTATTTCATTGACTTCGTTCCAGAAATTAACTAAACGATTGTTTTCATTATCACAAAATGCCCAAAAATATGCTAACATTATATCTTGATATTTTTCTTCACCGGTTTGTGAACTTCGCCATTTTTTTCCTACACAAAAATTCCAACACCAATAAAAGCCACAATCTAAAGATGACAATTGATTGTTGGTTGTAGATCCATATCGTATGATATGTGTTGTTTGATTGTTGTAATGAACATTGTAAACATCAGATATACAGTCCCATGGGGTAATTCGGATAATTACAGCCAAAACAGCTCTACCCTATTTTCCTCATCTCTTAACCCAATTTGTAGTTGGTCTTAAAAAATAACCAAATATACCATTTGATTGTCCAAAGTCTCTACTATGGAACGTGAAGATATCTTGATGATCGAGTATGGCCTTTATAGAGATGCAATATTCACAACATTGACACCTATATATATCATGTTTTAAAATTGAAAAATGAGCTCGAGGTAATTCGGATCACTCCAGCTATTTTAGCTGGACGTAGCGTATGAAACCTCTACTATTTTTACAATACATTATTGAATAGTACTCCTCGAACAAAAGTTGTTCATCTCTTTTTTCTCTATCATGCTCATACAAAATAACGTCACATTGAACGAGATGGATCAAGTATTTTTTTTTTATTTTTGAAATGATGAAAAAGGCTATTTTTCTAAGATACACCTTATAGTATTTATCATATAATTGCAAAACAATAATGCATCCTAGAAGGGGTGGGTGTGGATGTGGGTGGGTATGGGTGTGGGTGTGGAGGGTGCGTGTGATGTGGACAATGTGAATACTCACACCCTCTCAGACAATTCCTAATGAAACTATCTTTTTAATTCAATTGAGGTTTTTCAGGCAGTTTCCAATGACTACCTTTAAATTAAATGAATAGTAAAAAAAAATGTAATCACTTACCGGTATATATATTTCCTTTTAAAATTCCTATGGTATATGAATTTCTTTTTTTTGTGTCGGTTCGTGTTTTATTATTAATAAGTAATAAAACAGTTGGTCACGGCACCAATATTAGGGTCTTGATGGTTCACTCTACTTCTTTATATTATTACAGCACTGACTACTCAAGAAATGTACGCACACACATATATTTATATCTTTTACTATCTAGAGAAACATGTATATATATATATGTATATAATGGTGGACGACTAGATGAAAAGGAAAAACATATAGAGGTGAAATCAGTGCAAACAAGAAAACGAAGAAGGTGAGAACGAAAGAAGAGAGGAAAACAACAGAAAGAAAAGATGATGGTATATGTGAGGGGAAAGCCCGTAACAATCCGGTATTCTTGCCTTAATTATCATCATTTAATAAGAGCGAAAAACAGTCGTTTGAACTTAAAATTATTCACTAAAATCGCGTATCAGTTGCAAATGAATTAGTTTACTATTCGATTATTATTTGGATTCTTATTTGCAACACGATACATTAGTGAATCATGATCGAATCGATCTGATAGACATGTCTTTCTTAAAAACAAAAGATTCTTACAAATCTAAAAATTATTGACTAATGAAAAGGATACCGATTATGCTTTAATTTTGTATCCGATGCGGCTTTAGAACACTAGTTAAAAGCTTGTACAAACCTCTACAACATAACTTGTTAGGACGTTGCTTATGAATGACTTCTAAGAAGACGTGAACCAGTTATATGTCATCAATCAATATCATCATGAAAACGGAATATTGGAATATTTGAAGAAGTAAAAACTAAAACAGGTTATTATTATCATCAAGATAGAACGCGCAATAATTGTGTATTTAATGAAGAAGAAAATACATGTTCATTAACAAAAAACAGATGATATACTTGATGCAATCGAACGATTCGCCATACGTAAAGAAAAATGACATTAAGTTTACAAAATAAATTAGATGATATTAAAAGAAGATTAATACAACGATAATCTTACTAATATATCCGATACATTAATTCATTGTTCGGTTATTTTTCTTTTGTTTTTGTAATATGAAAAAATAATGCGGAACATTAATAAAAATGTCCAACAAATTTAGTTTCATTTATTTGATAAAAGGAATAAAGATATGGACGACAATCGGAATTATTCCGTCTTTTTATGTTTTAAGACTTATAGAAAGAAATTTCAAAAGATGAACTAATCTTGTCAGTTTGGATTTACAAATTGAAGTACAGAATAAAACGCGTTGTGCACCCACGAATAAACAGTTGTTCAGAGCATAAACTCTATTTTTCCATGAAAAGAAAACAATTTTCATGATATATACAATTTTTTTGTAATATTTTGCTTAAAAAATCAATTTCCGTTACTCTCTACCTATATTTATTTTGATCGTCCATTCGACCTTCTCAAAAAAGTCTCATTGTAGTCAATGATTTTTTTTATTTGTTTAAGAGATTATGTTACTAGGCGTCATTTTACTTTTTTTTTAGAAAATATGGATCCTTCTTTCTATTTCAAAAGCCACCATTTGACATATCTTGACATACTCTGTTGAACAAAAAATAATTAAGTCTATATAATGAAAATTGAATATTTGAGTACAGAGCTGAACAGGTTCACATGATTTCAACGTAGTTAAGTTAAAATTAGTTTTAGACAGTGAGTAAAACTTGAATTATACACAGATATTGTTTTCGATTAACTACGATTTACGATTTTCCTCAAATGATATGTTTAACAAGGAAATTGTAGAATTGTTGTAACATATAAAAATATAATTATCATTCAGAAAAATAATTTCTAAATTTATTTACTTAATAATGATGGATGTAAACAAAACATTAATTTGAATTATAGTGAAGAGACATATTAAAAAAAACAAAGTTTTGATCTTATTTAACTGCATTTCATAAAACAAAAGACATTATACAATATTTTCGGGTTAAAGTGCAAAAAAAATTGTACTCACTCATAAAAAGAGAAAGTATTCTTTTTTTATATTCTACTCTTTCACCATTGATTAGTTATGATTTACGTCAATGGATATTGATATAGTGTATAATACAAATTGCGTTGTAAAAATGACGTCACACCCAAGAATATATTTATTTCGATATCTTTATCCTTTATATTTTGTTCTAGAAGGGGCGTGTATTCATTCATGATTGATTTGTGACTTGTATGCAGTAATATATATATATATATATATGATGCGAGAAACTAAAGATATTTGAAAAAAAATTACATACTTCAAACTTCAACTACGACACATTAATTCATATGGCTTTTCGCGGTTCAACCATTATTCCTCATAGAAGTGATTTGGGTGCTTATAATTTAAGTAAGAAAATATTTCTATGTTGAATATATACACTACCGAATATAAAATTGATCCTTTTTAGATACCATTTATAATCTCTTCGGTTCGTATGATCAACATAAGTACGGTTCTCATTCAGGAATAGCCAGTCAAGGTCATTATTCGGGTCCTGTTCACTATCGTTCACCACGTGTACATTTATTCTCACCATTTGATTCTAGTTTTCGTCATTATCGATGGTAATGAGAAGTCAATGTAGCGCTGAACGATAAACTTAAAACAAAAGCAAATTGACTACTGTTTTGTATATACATTATTTAATCACGAAATAAAAAGCTTTTGATTACTTATATATGCATTAATCATTGAGAAAAATGCCCTACTACTTTACAGATCTGTGTATATAATAGTTCCATATGCAGTAATAATTAAATGTATGATTTCATAAATTGTATAATTTAGATAATATAAACAATAGTGTTTACAATTGAATCAGTATATTATAAGATAAGTCTATAATTAACTTAATGATCGTAATAAAAAAAAAATAATAAAGAAAAAATCTATTGTGAACGGAAACATACATATTTCAGTAGTGTCAATGATTGAGTGTAAAACGTTTAGTTTCTCTTGTTCAACTTTTATCTATACTAATCATCATAAATAAAATAAACATTTTTTTCGTCGTGTACACTTTAAATATCCAACATTATGTTAAGGTGATGCCGTCAATTGTCGCAATCACTTCCTTCATATCATCCTCTACTTTATTTAATCTTCTTTGATCAAATATCAGGTCGTAAACATATAAACAAAGGAAAAAGAATGAATTCAATACATAGATGTAATAGTTATAGTTGGGATGCTTTCACGTGACACATTTTAATCGATTCATTTTCCAACTGGCTTATTTTCCAAGTGAGCTTTCGATAAGAGTATATCAGTATCTACCGAATCAATCGAATTTTATTAATTCTGAAGCTGTTTATTAATAAAAAGTGTTGAGATTTTCTTCTTTTACCGATGTACATGGCTTCAAGAATACAGAATGTCGACAAACGTAATTCATACAAAACAAATTTAGATAATTACAATGAAATGAATGATATCGAGTTTTAATTGATTTTTAGTAACTATACTCTTAGAAAAGCAAACCAAAGAAAAATAAAATAGGAAATATATTCTAATAAATGTTAGTTTTAAATCCGAATTTAAAATAATCGAGTTTAGAAAGAAGAATATGTACATATAAAACTTATAATAAAAATTTTAAAGAAAATCATTGATACTGTTACACAGAGAAAACATATTACATTTGATCAATATAAATGGGAAAAGAAACTAACAAAATTAAAAGTTTATTTTTATCACAAAAAAAAAATTACATACCGCTTGAAATAAAAACTGTCCCCAAAAAATAAGTAAGAGGAAGACAGCTTGTTAGCACAGTTCCAAAGAAGCTGAAATGTGAAACTCACGTATACCCTTCAGACTTGTAATCATAATATATCATGTGAAAACTGAAAAATTTCTGTCGATTAAACTCGCTCTCACAACTCATCACTGACAAGAACAATAATTTGTCATTGGGTGTGGGTGTGGGTGGCGGATGTGGGGTGTGGGTGTGGGATGTGGGCGTGGGTGTGGGTGTGGAGTGTAGGTGTGGGTGTCACAGTTTATTACTACACCCACACCCACACCCATACCTGTTCAACGATAGTCAGATTAAGGAATCTGGTGATCGACTCTCTGTCGCTCGAAAAAAATAGAGTTAATTAGCAAAGCAAGCTAGGAGAAAAGTTTCATGTATTATATTATTACTCAACAGGAGACAAGAAGTGAACAGGACAATGCAGAGCAGAACAAAAACAAGACAGGACGCGATTTTGATTTTTGTCCTGTCCTGCCGCCCGCCAGGACAGGGCACGGTAGGATGAAAAATCTTGTTCTGTGCTCATCTCTGTTACCGCTATAATTTCAAATAGGAAGGATGATGAATTTTATACAAAATGAAAGCTCTTGAAAATGAGGTTTGTTGATACTAAACAATAAGGGTTATGAAAACTTTCGTATGTTGAAACTCTGGAAGTATAAAAAATTTTGCATAATGCAATCGATATAGTTCATTTTTAGCAAGTTGAAAGATAAAGAAAAAACGAAATTTTCTTTGGAGAAACGAAAAAGAGCATTGTTATAGTTATCATAAGATCTCACTATGATTCATAAGGTACGATTCCCTTTTGTGTTCTTCTGTATGATTCTGTTGGTAGCGATGAATCAGATTTTTATTTTTCTTTCGTTAGAGAGTTATAGAACAGGAAAATTCGAGAAGTTTCTGAAATAGTATATAAAGTCATTTTCTGAACAATATCTTGCATAAAAAGTCTATCCATTGTGTAAATCAATTAAATCTAATTATTTTAAAATGGCTGGCACCTATGATATGGAAGAATAGAGAATTATTGACAGAGTTAAATGTATCGCCTTTCGTGAAGTTCGAGATGCTGGTGCAACATTTATTAATCGACAATGGGTCGCGGAGAAAATTCATCGCTCAGTTCAATTTGTTCAAATTGATGGGAAAAACAATATGACCAATTGTTTTCTAACTATTCAAATACTGGTCCTAAACTTAAATTATCACAAGCAAGTCAAGACATCATCCTAAAAGCGAGTGGTCAACAAAGAAAAAGTTACTCTGTTGTGGCGAAGAAAATTGCAGAAAAGCAAAAGGAATGCGTCGTTCCAAGAACAATCAATAACTATCGTCATCGAGAAGATCTAAAACCGTTTCATTTTGGTCCAAAGTCGTTAAAAACGAAAACTCATATATCAGACCGATTATGGATGCGCGATTGGTTAAAAATAAAGCATGCATTGGGATTTTCGTTATATTTACTGCCAAAAAGTTACCTTGGGTAATCAAAGATAAAGGTGAGTTTTGGACTGGTCAATATTTTCGTGGTACAATCTTAGCTGAAAACGTAATTCCATTCTTAAAAAATGAAGAAAATGTTATTGATTCCAACCAAGTTATATTTGTTCATAATAAAGCATCATGTATGCAAGCAAATCAAACCCAACATTTGCTTCGAAACAACGACGTCAAGTTTTGGGGTAATGATATTTGGCCTGGAAATTCACCCGATCTGAACGTAGCGGAACATATTGGAACAATAGTCAAGGATGAAGTTGAGAAAAAAATGTTATCAGACATTGAACATTCTCGTTATCTTGAAGAAACGCTCATGATGCACATTTCTGATGTTCTAACAAATATGGAAAATGACAGTGATTTTTTTTAAACGTTTCCATGTTCGTATCCATCTCGAATGCGTGCATTAAAGAATGCCAATGATCGTCATACTGATTACTGCTTGTGCCCATCAAACAACAGAAAAATTAAAAAAATTTGTATCACATTTAGTTTAAACTTTATCTCAACAGTAACTTTTCACACTTATTATGAATGAAATTTCCTAAATTCAATAATTTTGGCATATGAAAGCTTTCATAACCCTTATTGTTTAGTATCAATAAACCCCATTTTCACGGGCTTTCATTTGGTATAAAATTCATTGTCCTCCCTATTTGAAATTATTGCGGTACTCCCTGGTAAAATATTATTTTCAAACTAGTATAATAACGATATATAAGCTGTCATTTCGTGATTTTATTTTGTCAAAATATTTCTACAATTATTTATTTTATTATGTCAACAAACCTTGAAAACTATGCATGTTTCAAGAAAAATAATTTTTTTTTTCCAAAAACAAACAACCGATATATAATTGAGAAAATAGTTGATTTATAGACAGTCAATGAAGCTCTAACCAATGCACGCCTCGAATATTCTTCAAATGCGCATTCAGTTTTTTCGATTTTTTTTCATTAAACAGTACAATACGGGCGCATTTCACTGATATGTATCTTCCGTCTCGAAAGGGTTAAAGAAATGAAATACTTCTAGAATGTGGGTGACAGAGTTTGGATGCATGGATGTGTGTGTGAGCACGGGATCTGGTCTGTTATTTATACGCTCACCCTGCACGAATACTTACACCTACACATCAGTGACGAAAACCAGTTCGAGACTTTTTCGATTTGGTTCGGTTCTGACAAAATACCAACCGATTTCTCTGTGACCCACGCCCATCTCTATCCTGTGACTCGTGCTAACAAGTAACCGAGAATAAACGTGCATGAAATGTGAATCATGACATCGTATTATGGAAAGCAAGAAAATAATTTAAGCCCCCCCCCCCCCCCCCCTAAAAAAAAGTCCATTTTCGTTCGGATGACCAAAATTGAGATAAAGGCATGGGGAGATAGCCCATAGTCTGCTTTTTCTAAAATGCTAAATATTTTTCCATGCTACCTCTTTTTTTCCTAAAAATTTTCAAGATTTCTGGAAACTCCTTTTCAAAAAACCAGCTGTTTTTTGAAAATTCCAAAAATGTGTTTTGCTTTTCTCAATTGTTATTTTCGGAAAAACGCATCCAAAACTGCTCTGTTATGGCTCGTCAAATTTCATAAATTTGTTTTTGTTTGAAAGAACACATCAAGACGCAGGGCATGACGTTGTCCTTTTTTTAAAAAAGTTCCTTTTTAGGTCCATAAACTGTCGCTTACAATTTTTTTTGCATTTTTTTTGACTATTTTTGGAGTACTTTAACTTGCGATAACTTTTTTAAACTTAAAAATGGACTTTTAAAAAAAAAAGGACAACGTCATGCCCTGTGTCTTGATGTGCTCTTTCAAACAAAAAAAAATTATGAAATTGGACGAGCCATAACAGAGAAGTTTTGGATGCCAAATCAGTTATTTTTAACCATTTTTGGTCCATATCTCCCTGAAACCTGCAGATTTGGGGCTAAAAATTTTATCAAAGACTCCCCACTGTAGCATCAACATATCCTCCAAATTTCAGCTGACTTGGACGTTCTTTGGCGGAAATCGACTTTTGAGGGGAGGGCTTAAGCAAAGGCGTTTGCTGACAGGCAATGTCTCGGTTAAAACGGGGAAAAAATCAGTGATAAACTCGAAGAAAGGTGGACAGGATAAATGAAAATATTATTTAGTTATGGAAGACTAACACTGAAGCATATATCAGTACTGCAGAGCCGGAACTCGTCGAATATATGCCATGGCCAAGCAGTGACGCAGCAGTAGCCACATTTCCAGTGATGAGCATTCTCTCGGTTTGATTTGATTATTCAGTTCTTTTCAGAACTTTGTTGCAGAAATAGCGTAGATTGGAACATCAAGCAATGTACGATCAACTTCACATCATTTCTCCTGAGCTTCCTGCTTTAATTGTATCAATACCTCGTCAATCGCTGTCTGTAACCATTTTTCCGGATTTCTCTCCAGTTCATCAGTAATTTCCCGATCGACTGGCGTAAGGACAAGAATGATCGGTGTTCCATACTGCACGGCTGACTAAACGATATCAGAATCCAGCTCTGTGAAACGTGACGTTGTCAGCAGCAGCAAACAATCGAAGACATAGAGAACCTTATCTTCAAAATAGGTTGCACTCCCGTGTTTCTTTGTTTCACGACTAGGCAAATCCCAGACCTCAAGGTAACGGTATTGATTCTGTGGTCAGACGTAACGTCGGATTTCACTGATCACTTCCTTGAGATCTCGGTCGACTGGTGTTGCCGCATTCTCTCGATAGACGTACTCTGAATCTTGCTTCACATCGGGCAAATTTCGAATTGAATTGATAAATGTCGATTTTCCTAATAAGAAAGGAGAGATTTGCACCTGTTTTACAAAGAAATGCTTTTTGATCTTTCACAAACCTGCTCCGCTCGCGCCGCAAGCAGAGAAATTGTACTGTCTCATAACATGCATTGACAATCGTTCACGAGCTAGATGAACGAGCATTTCTTGCATAATGGGCGTTGCTGCTACGCCTTCTAAGTCACGAGATGCTCGTGGATACGTTGAAGCTGCAGTTCTTGTATAGGGAGGAGGAGATTGATAAGGAGAGAAACTGGTTGACGTACGAGTAGACGAATTTGACGGTGAAGGGCGGTTACATTGTCCTGCGCAATTATCGGAATAAGAGTGATGATTACTAAAATTGTTTGAATTCAATGAATAATCATCATGGAAACCTCATTTCGGAGGTTTTGGAGGATATGGAGATGGATTGGAGAAGTCCCTTTTAAGCTTATCCATAACTTCCTCTACAACTTTTAAAATTATGACTCTGCCAATTACAACTCCGGTCGCTACAACACCAAATGTAACTGCTGCTACTGCTACAACACCAGCTTCCACTGCTGCTTTAATGACATTACTCATACTGAAAAAAAATAAAGAAATGTATAGTTTTAATTATTGGAATTTTGGTCTTTGAAACCAAGAAATTTAGACTGAAGGAAACTAAAACATTGTCATTAGTGATCTTTTTCGAATTTGATCTTTGGAGCTGAATCTGTTTTATCTTAAGAAAACTGTTGCGTTGTGAGATATCCGCTTAACTAACCATTTTTTCAATTTGTGCCTCAAAGATTATGTATCTCTGCACATATTCTGCATTCTTTGTTACAAGAAGAAAATGTAAAAGGGTGATCTTCTTTTGGTATATAATCATGTATATGCATGTCTATTAAGAGAATGAAAGAATACTTACTGACGTTGGAAAAAAGCCAATAATAATATGTCTTTCTGCTTTGCTTATCGTCATAAAAACCTTTCTTTTATAAAATAACGACAAAAGTAAGATTAAAAAACAGAAGAAAAGCATTTTAAGCCGGATAGTCTTGCATTGTTCTCCTTGCCTCTCAGGTCAGATTATCCAGCTAAAAAACCTTGTGCAATTCTTACAGATCATGTTTTGAGGGAGAGAATAGAAATTATTTCATCAGTTGGCAATAAACTTAATTTCAAAAACTTATTACTAAATCTAAAACATAAGTAAAAGCTGCCAAGATAATTCTTAAATGTTTCAATACTATAGAAGAAGAACATGCCACGAATAGTTTCGTCCTTGCTCAAGGGACTCTTCAGGTAGTCTAAGGCATTTTAATTCGATTACGCTTAAGATCATATAAGAAATTCTGTGGAAGATTCAAGAAGTCACACGAGGCGTTTCGATTGTCGCCCAAAGAGTCAATCATCAGATATGTTCCGAATCTACTATTACATATAAGATCAAACCTCCCCAAAGTATCAATAACAAAATGAAGAAGTTAGGACTTGTAGAACGTAATAATTCTTACGTAAAGGACTAGCAGCCATGATCACGATTTTGAACATGCTTAACCCTATGAGTACAAGATAGTTTTTATATATTAAAAATCTTAATATATAAAAACAGTCTCATACTTAAAGGATTAGGGTACAAACGAATAATCATCAGTAAATATAGAGGGTGTGGGTGGGTGTGAGTATGGTTGCGGGTGTAGTAAGGAAGGCTCAAGCCCAGGCCCACCCACTCACACTCACACCATAGACAACTAGTTTGGTGAGTATCTGTGTCAAAGCATGGAGATGGATGTATGAGATAAATGAAGATAACAAAACTCACCTTATTGTATCGTAATGAGTCAGCCAGATGTTGTGCTCCTTGGTTTCCGATTCGATTGTATTTGAGATCTAGTGTGATGAGTGTCTGTGTGAAAAGTGAAGATGTGTATATGAAATAGATGACAAGAAGATGAGGGCCACCATGTTGCTTCGCAATGCATTAGTCAGATGTTATGCTCCACTATCTCCGACTTGATGGTTCCGAGCTCAAGTGTGGTAATTGTCTGCATGAAAAAGTGTATGCGTATTTGAGATAAATGACGAGAGAATGACGATCATCTTGTTATTTTGTAATGCATTATCCAGATGTTGTGCTCTCTCGTCTCCGATTTGATTGCTTCAAAGAGGGTGTGGATGCCATGTCTCTCTTTACTCACATCCACCCTCTTTAAAGAGCATTAAACACTTGAAGAAAACGGTATGAGACCTTATGTCCATCAGCTAACATAGAAATAGTCTCAGAACAAGTTTCCATCGTTCATAGATGAAGATCGTTAGCTATCGAGTAGCTTAGATTTAAATCCATTGGACTATTCTATTTGGAACGAATCTGCACGATCTATCAATTGGAAGAAAGTAACATCGAAAGGCATTCTTTTTCGAAAAATTGACATTATTTCTGGAACGTTCATTAGATGAACAAGAAATGTTCTACAGCCATCTCTTCATTTCAAAACAAAACATGCAGCAATTCTTTGAACTGAACACCTTCGTGTAGTGAAAGCTTTTAAATAATCCTGATGGTGTTCAGAATAGAGTG